CCATGGGGAGCGCCTATCCTTTTTGTTAAGAAGAAGGATGGCTCACACCGAATGTGCATTGATTATAGGGAATTGAACAAGCTGACAGTCAAGAAGTGTTACCCGTTGCCGAGGATCGATGATTTGTTCGATCAGTTACAGGGAGCATCTTGGCTCTCCAAGATCGATTTGAGGTCGGGATATCATCAGGTGACGGTGCGAGATGAGGACATCCAGAAGACAACGTTTAGGACTCGTTACGGGCATTACGAGTTCGTGGTGATGCCTTTCGGGCTCACCAATGCGACGGCGGTGTTCATGGACCTCATGAACAGAGTATGTAGGCCGATGTTGGATCGCTTAGTGATTGTGTTCATTAACGACATATTGGTGTATTCGAGATCCAAAGAACAGCATGAGGAACATCTAAGAGAGATCCTCGGAGTTTTGAGATCGGAGAGGCTTTACGCCAAATTCTCCAAGTGTGATTTTTGGTTACGAGAGGTCCAGTTCTTAGGGAATCTTGTTAACCAGAAAGGGATATTGGTCGATCCGACCAAGATTGAGTCGGTGATGAGTTGGGAGGTGCCGAGGTCACTTACAGAGATCACGAGTTTCCTAGGATTGGCAGGCTATTATCAGAGATTTATCAGGGATTTCTCCAAGATCGCCGTGCCACTCACCAAGTTGACTCGGAATGGCGTTGCTTTTTCATGGGGCCCATAGCAGCAGGCCTCCTTTGAGACACTTCGTCAGAGGTTATGCGAAGCCCCGGTGTTAGCCCTTCCGGAGGGAATGGAGGACTTCGTGGTATACTGTGATGCGTTGATATCAGGGTTGGGAGCGATGCTTATGCAGAGGGGGCACGTGATAGCATATGCATCGAGGTAGCTGAAGCCTCATGAGGCAAGGTATCCCACCCACGATTTAGAGTTGGGGGCAGTGGTGTTCGCCCTCAAGATCTGGCGTCACTATCTGTATGGGGTCCGGTGTACCATATACACGGATCATAAGAGCCTGAAGTACTTGATGGATCATCCCAGCTTGAACATGCGGCAGAGGAGATGGTTGGATGTGGTAAAGGATTATGATTGTGAGATCCTGTACCTCTCGGTTAAGGCTAACGTGGTAGCCGATGCCCTGAGCCATAGAACAGAGAGCGTCCTGATGCGAGACGTATGTATGAGATTGACAGTGATGACTCCAGTGTTGGACACCATTCGAGGGGCCCAGGCTGAGGCTGTGAGACCAGAAAACCAAAAGAGGAAGCGAGTTATCGGGCAGGTATCGGAGTTCGTTACCACTAGCTGGGGACTTATGACATTTCAGAGTCAGATTTGCGTACCGTTTGTGGGCGGAACGCGTATCATTTTGATGGAAGAGGCACATCGATCGAAGTTCTCAATCCACCCCGGGGCCACTAAGATGTAGTTGGACCTAAAGAGGGAGTATTGGTGGCCCTGTATGAAGAGGGACGTTGCGTGGTTCGTTGAGAGGTGCCTAACCTATCATCGGGTTAAGGCCGAACACTAGAGACCGCATGGTAAGATGCAGCCATTAGAGGTTCCTGAATGGAAGTGGGAGCAAATTACTATGGACTTTATCACCAAATTGCCAAGGACTGCGAGGGGAGTTGATGCAATTTGGGTGATTGTAGACCGGTTGACGAAGAGCGCTCATTGCCTTGCTATCAATGAGATCTCTTCCGTAGAGAAATTGGCAGAGATGTACATGAGGGAGGTGGTATCGCGGCATGGAGTTCCGATCTCGATTGTCTCAGATCGAGATGTGCGTTTCACTTCCAGATTCTGGAAGAAATTTCATGAAGAGTTGGGTACGAGGCTGAATTTTAGTACCGCATACCACCCACAGACTAACAGGAAGAGCGAGCGGACGATCCAGACGCTCGAGGACATGCTCCGAGCGTGTGTGTTGGATTTCGGCGGGAGTTGGGACACATATTTGCCTTTGGCAGAGTTTTCCTACAACAACAACCATCATTCGAGCATTGGTATGCCACCTTTTGAGTTGTTGCATGGGAGGAGGTGTCAGACCCCCATTTGCTCGGGAGATGTAGGGCAACGTGTGATGGGTAGTACGGAGATTGTGCTTTAGACAACTGAGCAGATACAGCAGGTCAGACAGAGGTTGTTGACCGCTCAGAGCCATCAGAAGAGTTATGTGGACAGGCGTCGGTCCGAGCTCGAGTTTCAGGTCGGTGACTTCGTACTCTTGAAGGTCTCTCATTGGAAAGGAGTGATCCGATTCATGAATAGGGGAAAGTTGGGGCCTTGATATATTGGACCTTTCAGAGTGATTGCGAGAGTAGGCAGGGTAGCCTACCATTTGGAGCTACCCGCGGAGTTGGGTCAGATTCACAACACTTTTCACGTGTTGCAGTTGAGAAAGTGTATAGCCGACGAGTCGGCAGTGGTATCGTTAGAGGATATTCAGGTGGATGTAGGCCTGAACTATGTTGAGAGACCGGTGACAATTAGGGATCGTAAGGTCAAGGTTCTGAGGAACAAGGAAGTGCCTCTGGTGCAGGTGCAGTGGCAGCATAGGAAAGGGTCAAAGCTGACTCGGGAGCTGGAGCGCGAGATGCATGAGAAACATCCAGAGTTGTTTGCAGAATGAGACTTCAAGGGCGAAGTCTGATTCTAGTTGGGGAGAATTGTAACATCCGGATTCCCAGGTATATTATTCTAATATTTTATTTTTGGAATTTGTGAAGGAACTCGGCGAGTTGATGCTTAGACTCGCCGAGTAGGGTCGCGGATTATCATCCGGGTTCGCGTCTAGACTCGGCGAGTCCACACTGTTTAATGAAACCCTAATCCCTCGGGGTTGGAGCCTATTTAAGGGAACTCATAGTCCCCCATTGCGGCTACCAGTCCCTTGAGAGAACCCTAAGTGAGCTAAATCGTTTGGGAGGAAGCAGAAGCCATATTTGATCTTTCTATCTTTGGTTTAGCAAGAAGAAGGTGATAAAGAGCAAGTGGAGACTGGAGGAGGTGTGATTCTAGTGGTTTCAGAGTCCAGAGACTTCAACTTGAGGTATTTATTTGGACCTTCTTCAGTTTTGGTATTGATTCTTAGAGTTAGGGTTTTCTAACCTCTTTTGAGTATGGTTATGTGGAGCAATTGGTCCCTTCTCGAGTTTATGCTTTGGATCTGGACTCAAAGAGGTCCAGAGACCTTAACCCTTGGAGCTTTATGAATTATCTTGGGATTCATGAGCTTATAATGTCATTCTTGGGGCTAAATCACCAAATGAAACCATCTAGATGATATATGAGTGTCAAGGTCTGGACTTTACGTGATTATTATGCTTGGGAAGGCCAGATCTATGGATTAGAAGAACAGATCTGACCTCATGAGGTCAATGGAATTTGTGTTGGGTTTTAGCCATAAGAACTTTCCTATGTGCGCATGCAAAACCCTATTGCTTGGATCTAGGCTTTCTAATAAACATGCTTTTGAATCCAAGACTTCTAATGGCTAATTAGGTTAAACAACAATATTAAAACAGATCTAGAATCATACCTTTGAATCCCTTGTTGATCTTGTTTGTCTTGGAGCTTCTAGAGTCACAATTGTCACTCCTCTAATGGCTTACAAACACCAATAGCAAGCAAGATGATTTAGGAGAGAGGAGAGGGGATGAATTCGGCCAGAGTATCCTTGCTTAAGGTTGTGTGTAAGGTTGTTCTCGAATTCCCCATCCCAAGGGCCTATTTATACCTTTAGACTCCTTAAGGGTTTCACCCTAAACCCTAATTGGATAATCTTCTTTTAAGGCTATCCAAATCCATTCCATAGATATCCCTATGGACGATTTTGAGCTATCCTAAAGCTCTTAGAATCCGTCCAAGGTGTATCCTAATGGATTTATAGTCTAAAGTCTAACTATCAAACAATTGACAGTTTATACCCTCTTATTTAATTAATCTCTTTAAGTCACCAAATTAATACTAATTAATTTATGACTTATATTAATCAAATAGCTAAATATTATTCCTTATAATATTTACTCTCTCTTAACAAATCATCCTTCAAGTTGCTATGGTGAAGGCAACCCAAAAGGACCATGCACCACCGAACATAGTTATAGCCTTAGACACTATTCCAACAATTTGTGTATGGCATGTACTCGCCAAGTTGTTCTTGAGACTCGGTGAGTTAGGTCGGGGTGGCCCCACGATTCATACCTGGGGACTCGTCGAGTAAAGGGATGGACTCGACGTGTTAAATGGGACTAAAGAGTTAGTGGACACATGTGGACTCGCCGAGTAGCCCAAGTGCACTCGACGAGTCGGGTCAACGTTTGACCGTTGTCTTTGGTTGGCTTTTAGGGTTTGGTTAACAATGAGGGCCTTTGAACCAAAGGAGGGGTAAAATGATCTTTTACCCTTCTGAGGGTGCCTAGAGATGGTTGAGTCTCGTTATGAGAGTTATATTTATGAGAGTATTAATTTATGTGTTTAGGCGGAGGCTAGATCGTATTTCTACCGAGTCAGTGATTTACCGGGACATCTGAGGTGAGTCTTCTCACTATACTTTAGCTTGAGTGGTAATTAGAGTTATGTGACAGAGTTATCGTATACTATTAAGTGATGTGTTGTACTGCATTATTTCTATGTGGTTTATGTCATGTGTGTATCAGAGTATATCAGAGTTAGAACCGAAAGGTTAACAGAGTTAGCACTAGAGGGTCCACAGAGTTAGGGCCCACGGGCCCACAGAGTTATAGCCTCGAGTGGCTAGTATGTGTTATGTATGGTATTTTGGGGAACTCACTAAGCTTTATGCTTACAATATTATGTGTTATGTGTTTCAGGTACCAGTGATGATCGTGGGAAGGCGCCGACATGATTCGTTCACACGCATGGATTTTTATGCATTTTGATATTGGGAAATATTTTGTGAAACAAAGTTATGATACAATGGGATTTTTTTTGATAAATGTGTTTGGAAAATTGTGTTTAAAAATGTGAAATTTTGTTTTAAATTTTACGGTGTTACAAGTAGATACGCAAACACACTCTCTCTTGTTTTTCAACTGAGCCACTCATGACGAAGAAGATGACGGGTGAACCATCGAAACCACCACATAGCCCGATACACCCGATGGTGTCGTTGGAAGCAGCTAACACCCCAACAGAGCCATCCTCTGGTGAGCCACCATCGTCTCTTGAGGCAACACCATCTTCCGGTGGTCCACCACTATCCCTCAAGGTAGTGCCATTATCCGGTGGTCCGCCACCATCTCTTGAACCGACACTGCCATTCAGTGGCCCACCACCATCTCTTGGGACCACACCATAAATTTGGTAGTCCGCCACCATATCCCACAATGGTACATCCATCAGATGACCCGTCGCCCTCGGTTGCCGCAATTACGCAATCGGTTCTAACCTAGAGCTAGATATGGCCACCCACTTCGACTCACACAACACCCCCACCATTCCTAAACAGCGGTGTATCTAACCAATACATTGCACCCATTTCACCACCGTTATTCTCCAACGCCATCAATCCTAACAACCTTCAAACAACACCCATGACGCCTTTCATGAACAACTCACAAGTGAATAACACTATAACTAGCCCAAACGTTACACCACAACAACATAACCACCCGTCATTGATGGCGGGCGCCGTGTCAACATCACCACTCGTTCTGTACTAACAAATACCCATGACCCAACAACAAATACCCATGACCCAACAATAAATACCCATGTCCCAACAACAAATACCCATGACCCAACAACAATTACCCATGCTCACACCTTCCCTACTCCATTTCAGATGTCCAACATCTACGACTTAGTAACGTCGGACCTTACAACATATAAAAACATGTTAGTACAACCCTTCTTGGCGATACAATAGACAAGGTATCACTTCAACCAGCGAACCCTACCCAAGACAACCTATCACGAAGTGTTACATCACCATTCGTTAAAGAGCTCCTGGAATATGAAATCCCTAACACTGCCAAGCTACCCCACCTTAAAACATACGATTGTACAATTGACCCAGATAGCCACATCGATACATATGAATGGACTATGAAGTACCTTAAAATAGACGAATGATTCTGGTGCACATACTTTCCTACTACCTTAGATGGCAACGCGGGGACATGGTTCAAGACACTACGCCTAGGCAACATCAGCAACTTTAGCCAGCTGAAGTACCTTTACCTAACTAACTTCATGCAACTCCAGAAATACAAGGGCGATTGCCACTCGATCATTGTGTGCAAACAATGGGAGGGTAAAATAGTCAAGGACTATTTCGCCAGATTCACTAAAGCAACGTTGGATGTCTCAGGTCACGACGAGGGATGGATCGCAGGGGCATTCACCTGGGGACTGTTATCGGGGTCGCTATCCCAAAAACTCATGGGCAAGCAACCTCATACAAGTGCCAAACTAAAAGAGCGAGTGGAGCGATTCCTACACTTGGAGGTAGGCGAAGCGTCGAAGCAAGCATACCTCAACTCCATGATAGCCTCCACTGGAAAGCGAAACCACCACCTACTCAACATCCAGACCCTCGGGGCGACGACAGATTCATGGGATGTGATAGGTGATTGTCAAGATGCTTTAGACCCTTCATTAAAGATGAAAGACGAGGAAGACGAGCAAAAGTCTATGCAGTCGATGAGAAACCAGCAACAAACAACACTAAAACGTGATATTGTGAGTATCACAAAATTAGGACGCACGACACAATCAATTGTGCAATACTAAAACGGTAAATTGAAGAAAAACAATTAAAAGGTAATGTGATAAAGATCGGAAAGATCCTACGAGCTAAGTTCGACGCAGAAAACCCCAAAGACACCACTGGAAATATAGATTGTAGGTTGGAAATCTTGACAATACACCGCAAAAGGGGGAGAGGAGAACGCACGGAAGGCACACAAAGCATTGCAACGACGATGCCTGGGCTAACATTCTCCATACACGACCCAAGCCTGGTTGGTTGGAGCGGAGACCACCCCCTCGTCATCCAAGGATCCATTCGGGATGTCGTCTTCCACCGAGTATATGTTGACACTGGAAGTTCTGCATACATCATTTACAAATACTATTTCCGGAGGTTACCAAGTGCCTGGAAGGAAGGACTAAGGCCAGCCACAAGCCAACTAACGGGGCTCACTAGGCACAGTTTTTGGCCTTTAGGTGCGATCCACTTGCCACTCACATTAATCAACCAAGACATAACTGGGCGATCGACGACCCTAATAGATTTCGTAGTCATACGACACCCATCATAGCATAACATCATATTAGGACGGATGGCCCTACTGAGTTTAGAGCAGTCCCATCGACAATCCACGAGATAATCAAATCCAACACAACCAAAGGACCGGGAACGATTTTAGCCACACCCGCAAGGGAACTCAAATGTTACGAGATCATGCAGCCGAAAGACATCACAACGAAGCCAAGAGACCGAGACCGGATTTTTTGGATGGGGGAGAAGTAATCAAAAGGTAATACCCAGACCATCGAGTGATTGTGGGGAAAACCCTCCCCACAAAATCAAGAGAAGTGCTGGTCCAACTCCTACAAAAGTATAAGCACGTATTCGCTTGAACGCCCACAAACATGGTGGGGGTCGACCGAGGAATCATAGAACACAAGCTGATGATAAAATCAGGAACAAAGGAGATAAAACAGAAGAAACGGGTCCAAGGAGGGGACCAAAACAAGGCAATCAACACAAAGGTAGCTAAATTAACTAGTACCGAAATCCTTAGAGAAGCGATCTTCCCTACATGGATCGCCAACCCGGTAACGGTAAAAAAGCATGATGATAGTTGGCGTATGTGCATCGACTACTCGGATCTTAACAAGGCATGCCCCAAAGAATGCTACCCATTACCAGAAATAAACTAGAAGTTAGAGTCACTACAAGGGTTCCGGTGGAAATGCTTCCTAGACGCGTACAAGGGGTACCATCAAATCTTGATGAGCAAAAACGACGAAGGGAAAACAGCCTTCTCTATAAATCATGGTACTTTTTGCTACACGAAAATGCCATTTGGGCTAAAGAACGTTGGAGCAACTTACCTATGGCTCGTTGACACTTTATTCACCAACCAAATTGGTCGGAACATCGAAGTCTACGTCGACGACATGGTCGTCAAAAGCCCAGACGAGCAGAAGCTGCTACGAGACGTAGAAGAGACACTACAAACCTTGGAAAGAGCTAAGATGAAGTTAAACCCTGCTAAATGCACATTCGGGGTAAAAGAAAGACAATTCCTAGGGTATTACATAAAAAAGGAAGGAATTCAGCCAAGCCCAACCAAGATAAGCGAGCTCGAGGAACCGCCTTCGCCTAGCACGCTAAGGGACGCACAAGGCTTGAATGGAAAGCTAACATCGCTCAACTGCTTCATTTCCAAATCAGCTAAAAAAGAAATGTCGTTGTTCCACACACTCAAAGGGTGCATAGCAAAAACGTAATTTCCAATGGACGGCAGAATCCAAATCAGCACTACAAAAGATAAAAAAAGGCGCCCCATGCACTCCCCACTTTAGCTAGCCCAATACCTGGGGAAATATTGTAAGTTTATCTGTCCGCATCAAGGGACACCATTTCATCAGTACTGAGCCAGGCCCTGCAGGGACCCGAAAGCAACTACCCAATCATCAAGAAATTGGTGCTTGCTTTAATCTACGCAGCGTGAAGGCTCTGCCGATACTTCCAGGCCCACCAAATAGAAGTATTGACCAGCTGCCTGATCAAGCAAGTGATCCTGAAGCCGGAGACATCAGGATGACTCGTAAAATGGGCCATAGAATTGGGAGAACACGACATCAACTATCACCCCATGGTAAGCATCAAGGGATAGGCATTTAATGGAATTCTTACTCGAAATCCCAGGAGAACTCCAAAAAGAAGTAGCCAGTGCGACCAACAAGGAAAGTCACAGGGGAAGACTAACCAATAGTGGACTCTCTACACGGATGGGGCTTCCAGCAAAGAAGGGTCAGGTGCAAGGTTAATCCTAACTATCCCCACAGGCGAAGAAGTTACATACACTTTACGTTTCAACTTCTACACCTCCAACAACGAGGCCAAGTATGAAGTCTTGGCTGGCGGGTCTCAGATTGGCAGTAAAAATGGGGGCGGAGAGGGTCATGGCCCTAATTGACTTACACCTAGCATCCAACCAGGTGTCAGGGGAATTCGAAGCAAAGGATAAACTAATGGAAAAGTATGTCAAAGCGGTACAACGAATCACAAATTCGCTAAAGAGTTTCACAATAAAGCAGATTCCGAGGGGAAACAACAGACGAGCAGATGCCCTTAGCAAGCTGGAGTGAACGTGCTTTGGGCACCTTTCAAAGGAAGTATTAATGGAGGTACTAAAAGAAAGGAGTATCGACAAGCGCCAGGTAGACTCCCTATCAACAGCGCAACCCAACTGGATGACGCCCATCATGGACAACCTACAGCACGACGTGCTCCTCGACGACCATGGGGAGGCTCGAAAAACAAGGATACGAGCCCCTCCAATGTGCAATCCTAGGGGAACACTGTATAAAAAAGGCCATACAGCTCCATGGCTCAAATTCATCAGGTTGTCGGCTGGAGGTAGGTCTATTAGATGGAATATGTATGAGGAAGTTGTATTTGCCAGGAGGATGAGGAAGTTGTGGATCTTATTTTTTTCGGTGTTCTTTGGCCACACAAATTTGGAAGGAAGTTGCTCGGTGGATTGATTTGGATGTGCCTTTGTTCTCTTCCGTGGTGGATATGTTACATTGGATTGACTCGCGGCCGGTGGCGAGAATGAAAAGAGTGATTGTGGAGTACATCTTCATGACTATCATTTGGGTTCTGTGGACGTACCAGAATGTAGTTATATTTCGCCAGTCTCAATATAGGAAGCAATTTATATTCGATAATATTGTTGACCACTCTTTTCAATGGTTTTCGTTAGAAACTCTAAAGCTTTGGGTTGAGTGGATACAAAACCCAATCGTGCCTTAGGTGCTGCTTGTTTTTTTTTTTTTTTTTTAAACCTATTCAGACAAACTTTTTGCTTCGCGACACAAGACACGTGCATCACTTGCCCTCTCACAACAAATTGTTTTTTTTTGGAAGGCTTCAGACTACAAAACTTATGTGTGTGTTCTGTGCGACACAACACTTTATTTGCCTCTTCAAACCTCGTCAACTTTCATTTTTTCCTAGTATTTTTTTATAAATTTGGTATAGTTTTTTTTATTAAACTTTGATTTTTTTTAAAACTTTGATTTAGGGATTTGATACAATTTCTTTTTATACATAATTTTTTATAACTTGATTTAAAAAAAAAAAACTAAGATTTTTA